CTGTGCTTTGCTAAGCTTGTTCTAAGTAGGTGCTTTAGACCACTGAGCCATCTTACCAGCCCCTGCAATACTTTATTTTTAAAAATATTTTTTGTTGATACAGGGCCTCGCTATGCACTTCAGACTCATAGTGACCCTCCTGCCTCAGCCTCCCCAGCACTGGGATAACCGGCGTGTGCCACCACACTCGGTTTTGGGGCCAACCCAGAGTGCCTGGAGTTCCAGGGCTGGCACAGCATGTGGCACCAGGGATCAAACTCTGGTTCCTGCCCTTTCCAGGCAGGCACTTAGGCTGCCAAGCTATCTCCCCAGCCCAGTACTTTTATTTTTGATACCTGCTGAACTCCAAAGGTACATCTGGAAGGAGCCCTGGGTTAAACAGCAGCGAGGTCCTGAGGGAAAACACTGCAACATTTCCTTAACTTGTTCTAGTTCTCTGCTTCCTACAGTATTAAATGTTTACTTTAAAACTTTCTGCTTTTCATTTCTCAATAAAGTTTCAATTAAGAGGAAAACAATCCAAAGAACTGTTTTTTTCTTTGTGATACCAGGGCTTGAACTCAGGCCTTTGCACTTATTTCACTGAGCTACTTCCCCCAGCCCCTCTGTTAATTTGGTACCATCAGTTTAACTTACTGGTTTTGCTTGTCATTTTGAGACAGGGTCTCTCTGTGCAGTGCAGGCTGCCCTTGAACTCACTATGGAGTGCAGGCTGGCCTCAAACTCAAAACGATCCTCCTTCCTCAGCTCCTAAGTGCTGGGATTACAGGTGTGCCATGCCACGCCCAGCTAATATGAACCTTTTATATAGAGAGTTAAAAGATGTATTCTGCATTTAAATCTAGGCTCCACTGGATAATTTTGCGCAAGTTATGAAATCTACGTATAAAATGTAGGTAGCTAAATTGTAGTGCCTTACTCCTAGGGCTGTCATGGATATTCAGAAAATTAAAAGCACTTATATATAGTAAATTCTGAATAAATGTTTATGTCTTTAAAAAAACCTCTTTGTCATTCTATTAGACTTCCTTTTGTGTGCTGGTGGGATGCTGCCCACACCTGGAGGCAGAGGGAAGCAGCCTGGGCTAGAGTGAGATCATGTCTCAAAACCAAACCAAACCACAACCAAATCATAACCAAGAGCAACAGCAACAGCAACACCAAACTAAACCATCCCTAAAAATCCTTTTGCTCATCTGATAGGACAAATATAGTTACCTATTACTGTTTGGTTTGCTTTTTTTTTTTTTTGTTTAAATTTTAGGAAAGGGTGTACAGGGTGTTCAGGGTCTCCCTACTAGATCCAACTCATAGTGATCCACCTGTCTACAGCCTCCCAAGAGCTGGCGTTACAGGGGCATGCCACCACGCCAGTCTCAATTACTGTCTCAGCGTGCCCTGGGGACAGGGCCAGCAGCAGGCCTGGGGACCGAACCCCCGAGTTTTAATCTTCTGGTTTGCAATTTAAAAATTATGAGCAAGAAGAAACATTTTCCTATTTACTTTTTATTTCTTCTTCCACTGTTTCCCCTTATCTACTGAAGTTTAAATATTTTTTCTTTTTCTTTTTAAATTAATTAATTTATTTATTTGTGTGTGCGTGCACGTGTGTGTGGCTAGCTCAGCCCACCAGGGGGCGGGCTGGCTGGCATGTGGTGCTGGGGGATTGAACTACGGTCCCTGTGCTTTGCTAAGCTTGTTCTAAGTAGGTGCTTTAGACCACTGAGCCATCTCACCAGCCCCTATTTTTTCTATTTATCAATTTTAGGGTTTTGTTTTTATTTCTGTGGTGCTAGGAATCAAACCCAGGGACTTGTACATTCTTTGCTTTTTTCATGTATTTGGTTGTTGCAGGGTCTCACTATGCAGCTCGGACTCGTGGTGATCCTCCTGCTTTGCCTCCCCAGTGTTGGGATTACAGAAATGTGGCACTACGCCTGGACTCTGGCCCGCTCAGCCTGCCATGGGGACTGGGTTGGGGCAGCACGTCGTGTGGGGGATCCAACTGTGGTCCCTGCGATTGCCTAAGCTTGCCTAAGCAAGCACTTTATTCTAAGCTATCTTGCTGGCTCTGGGACTGGACTTGTACATTTTAAGTAGAGGGTTCTTTTCTTTTAAAAATAAAGATATTAATCCTTTGCCATATTTTGTGAAAACTTATTTTTCTATACCCTTCTAATATGATTTTTGCTATCTTCTTAAATTTTGACAGTCTTCCTAAAAGAGGTGTAGTGGTGCATGCCTACCATGCCAGGATTATGGGAAGATGGGGCAGTAATTTTGCAAATTCAAGTCCAGCTTTGGCAACTTAAGAGTAATTTTTTTCCTTTTAGTCTTCTTGAGACAGGGTTTCACTATGAAGTTCAGGCTGGCTTTGATCTCAGTCTATTATCCAGGCTGGCTTTGAACTTAAAGAGATTTTACAGCCTCAGTGTCCCAAGTGCTGGGATTACAGGCATGCACCAGCATACCTGGCCTAGCATGGGCAATTTAGCAAGACAGAAAACAAACAAATATCCTCCAAAAAGTAAACAATAAAGGACTGGGAGACAGTTTAGTACAGAGCCCTTATGGCCAATCCACAGTACTGGGGGGGGGGGGAAGAAAGAAAGAAAAGAAAAAGTTCTCCCAAGGCAGGACAGACAGTGATTTCTCTAACTTTTTCAGAAACAGGCAACTGGGGACCTGAGGATGTACTCCGGCTGCAGAGCCCATGCCTAGTCTAAGCCTCAGCAAGGCAGTAGCACCCCCAGCACCAACAATAAAACCCTATACAAGCGAAAAACAGCAGAGGCACGACCTGCCCTGTATTTTTCTCTGCAGCACCCACTCACTACCTGCTACTCTAACATTCTCTCAACACTGGGGACTTTCCTGCTAGAATGTATGTTCTATGAGGGAAGACTCTGCTCTACCCTCAAAACCTAGAACAATAGCTAGCTGATAGTTGGTACTCAATATATAAAGTATTTTACATATTTTGTAAATTCAAAGGAAGAACTGAATGATCGGCGACATTTGTGTTAACATAGGGATGAAATAGGTTTTATCTTGAATGCCAATTGCAAAGGAGTATCAGCTGATGAATGGAGTGACGCGAGGAGGATTCTGAAGTCATATGAGCTTACAAGGGAAATAAGATGTAAATAATGAGCAATGTAGAATTGAGGCATTCTACACAAGACTATCTGAATTTATATGTAAAATGGCACAGCTAGAAAATGAGATAAATTATTTGTCAGTATATAAAAGTATCACTATGTTTTGACAAGTTCTTCACACAGATTTTATTAGCACAGATAGGTTAAGGGAAACTAATAAAAAGCTATACTTATTAAATGTAATTAGAAAATAAAATAGAGAATACTTCAGACCATGAGAGGACTTTACCTATGGGAACAACTTAAAATATGCTTTTCACATGTTTTTACATAACATACTTTTTTTTTTTTGGTAGTACTAGGGGTTCAATCCATAAGCTTATGCAGTCTAGGCATAAGTTCTACCACTGAGCTATAGCAAAACCCTCTATGAAATTTTATTTTGAGCCATAGTCTCACAAAGTTGCCTAAGTTGGACCTGAACTTGTGATTCCTTCTGAACTCAAGGCTTTGAGTGTGCAGGGCAAGAACTCTACCACTGAGCCACATCCCCAGCCCAAACTTGTGATGTTCTTTTTTTTTTTTTTTTCTTTAAAAAAAAGACAGCGTATGCAGTAGTATTAAAACAGAAAAATTACAAATGATACAGAATTTCACTAAAAAAAATTAAGAATTTCACAGTATTTGTAGTATTATATAATGTTGTCTTCAAATTGGTTGTTCATATTACCAGATATATGTATGCAAAATTGGAAGATAGAAAATAAGAAAGAAATATATAAGAAATTAAGAAGAGTGCCGGCGAGATAGCTCAGCAGTCTAAAGCACCTGCTTAGGCAAGCTTAGGCAACCACAGGGACTGTGGTTTGATCCCCAGCACCATATGCTGCACCAGCCCTGCCCACAGGGCTGGCTGAGCTGGCCACAAAAAAAAAAAAAAAAAAAAAAGAAAAGAGAGAAAAAGATAAAATAATTGAAAAAAGGAGACAAAGCACATTAAACACCACTGTTCCTTTCCATAGAACAGCAGAAATCCACAGTACATCCTGCTTACACAGATGGATATATCACCTCCCACTCCCTCTCCTGTCTTCCTCAACTCAGTAATTCCTTCCTTTTGAACAGGTTCATTCCCTTTATCCCAATATGTACTGCACTGTTCAGATTGTAACTTGTGATTTTTTTGCCTCAGCTTCCCAAGTAGCTGAGACTACAGGCATGTGCCACCTCACTTTGCTTTTTAAGTCTGAAGAAATTCACCTATATCATTAAAATTTTTTTTCAGGACTAAGTATGAATGAATACATGATACTTACATTCTGTTTCATGCTTATAGGCTCCTAAAGTTAGCTGACGAGACGTTGTTAATAATTGTTGCATCATGGCTGTTGGGTCTTGAAATATCTTCAGGGACAGAATGGAAAAAAAGTTCAATAAGTCCGAAGTTCTCCAACTTCAACTGCTTTTAAAGTCTAGCTACAAAAATCTCACCATTTCATCATAGAACTCTGAGACAACTGTTTTTTTCCCCAACATTGCGTTGGTGTCTGATTGGAACAGCTTTAACAAATGATACAGGGTTACCTGTAAAATAAAAACAGAGTTTGTGGTTAAAAAAAACAAAAAAACAAAAAACAGAGGTCACAGCTGTACAACGGCTTTCATCATCATCATGAAAAACTTAGTTTTGACTGAATTAGACACTGGGATTAGTAAATGTAGCAAATTCAGATCTTCTTTCAACTGAAATTTATTGTGGCAAATCACCGAACTCTGCACTTTCATTTTCTTCTGAGGTAACACCATTCATATGCATTTATTAGCATGAATATTTTGAAGGAGGTAAGTAAGAACCTATTCAAACATCTCTAAATAGGCTGGGAATGTAGCTCTTGGCAAGTGAAAATCCCGGGGTTTAATTGCCAGTACCACCAGAAAAACAAAACACAAAAAACATAAGATACAGCTATGAAAATTAAACTTTAAAATCACCAACACATGAATTATTTTACTTAAATAAATGAAAATGGACTAGTTGTTAATAGCTGTCTATGAAGATTAGAGTTTACAAATTCACTGTGGGAAGAGAACATTTGGTACTTTCAAAAGGAGTAACCAATATTAAAATGTTTAGTATGAGCAAGACGCTCTCCTTGGTGATGCATAGGATTATCACTTAAACAGCATAACAAACACAGAGTTGGTCAGTAATAGGTTTTTTTTTTTTTTTTTTTTTTTGGTGGAACTGAGGATTGAACTCAGGTCCTTGTGCTTGCCAGGGAAGCGCTTATTCCACTGAGCCATCTCCCCGGCCCCAATCAGTAATAGTTTTTGAGAAGAGCACCATGTTTGCAAAACCTTAAAAATAGATGCTCTAAGACATCAAAGGAAATGCTCTGCAGCACAAAGTGATTATTGTACCAAAATAAAACAGCTGGCAAACCTAAGAGCTCATGTTGAAGTTGTATAAACCAAGGGCCTCAAAATTTTTTTCCAACAATTAACTAGTATCATCATAAGGACATAATAGTCTTCAAAATAATCATGAAATGGGGAGGAAGAGTACTCTGAAGGTCAGAAAATACAAGTTCTTGCAACTGAATGTGAACAAGCATCATCAGACTCCCCTAAAGACAAAGCTACTTCAGCTTACAGAAACACAGAAGGGGCTGGAAGTATAGCTCAGTGGTAGAGCATTTGCCTAGCATACAACAGGCCCTGAGTTCAATCCCCAATATGGAGGTTTGGGAGAGATACAGAAAAGGGAGAAGGGAAACACATAGAATTCCATTAATAACCAAAACAAAATGGTACAACCTGAAATTGAGGTGGCAAGAAGTATATGCCATATTAAAACACGTAACTTGCTGGGCATTGTGGCAATGCCTGTAAGCCCAGCACTCAGGAGGCTGAGGCAGGAGGATCACTGCTTGTTCAAGGCCAGACTGGGCTACAAAGTAAGCTTATGACTAGCCTGAACTACACTGCAAAACCCTGTTTCAAATAGACAATCAAAACAAAACCATAATTAGACAAATTTTTGGAATAGAAAAAGATGCTACACTATGACAATAAATCATAATACAGAAAAACTACAACTTGGAAACTTAAGGAAGAAAATTACATCAGAGGTGGGAGTCAGAGCTCTTAAGAGCCCCAGAGAGGTTCCAAGTTGAGCTTGCAGGCAGTGAAACAGAGAAGCATGGGGAGGTGGGCCTGTCGAACCTCCCTTCTATTCTCATGGACAACAAAGCACTCCCCACTTGATGCTAGAACTACTCATACCAGCAATCAAGTATGGAGAAGAAATGAACACATTTTCAGATGGGCAGTGACTGTAATAAAAGCTTATTTCTCGGGCATCCTTTATGAAAAAATTTCTCTGGCAAAACAAAGAGAACAAATTTGTGCCTACAGGGGGAAAAGGACCATATAATATCATTAGGAATTTGCAGGTATTGCTTAAAGTTGAAAAAGCTGAAATTTGAGGTTTAAATATGTGAGACACACAGGGGTAATTTCTAGAAAAAAGAATTACTGCTAAGGGGCCGGGGAGATGGCCCAGTGGAATAAATGCTTCACCAACAAGCACAATGGTCTGAGTTCAATCCCCGGTTCTGAAAAAAAAAAAAAAAAAGTGGTTTTTGCTAGGGAAGAGATGGGAGATAAGAAAGGAAGGGGGCGCATTGAATTGTGTGTCCCCAGATATACGCTGGAGTCCTAACTCCTGGCATGTGCGCATATAACCTTATTTGGAAACAAAATCTTTGCAAATGTCACTAACTTACAGTGAAGTCATTAGGATGGACCCTAATCCAGGATGGTGTCCTTACATGAAGAGATACACAGACAGGGAGTGAAGGCCACGTGACGATTGAGACAGAGGGTAAAATTATGCTCTCCAAAGCCAGGGGACGCTGGGGGCTTCCAAAAGCTGAAGAAGGTAAGCAAAGATTCTCCCCTAGAGGATTTGGAAGGTACACAGCCTACACCTTGATTTTAGACTTCCAGGTTCCAGAACTGTGAGAGTGACTTATGTTTTAAGGCACCTCCACTGTGACACTGGGAAACTAACACATGAGGACTTGTACTTTTTAAGAAATCCCCCAAAACAGTACTCTCTTGAAACAGAAATCTCTTGCACACTTTTTTTTTTAAATAAATGTTTTTTTTTAAATTATTTATTTATTACATTTTTATTTAGTGTGTGTATGTGTGTGGCCAGCTCAGCCCACCAGGGGGTGGGGCTGGCTGGCATGTGGTGCTGGGGGATTTGACTTGGGTTCCCTGTGCTTTGCCAAGCTTGTGCCAAGTAGGTGCTTTAGACCACTGAGCCATCTCTCCAGCCCTCTTGCACACTTTTGCCTTTATAATAAAGGCATTTAAAAATTACATCATAAAACTGTTTTCTAAATGTACTATTCAGACTTCAGAAGTATTCTTGCAGATATAGGCAATAAAACAATTAAGACAGATGTTCTTAATTTTGAATGCTCTATGCTAATTCTTCGAGCAATGAAACTGCCTAGGCCTGGAAATTCTTCTTTCCAAGAACAAAACTGGACCTTAGTATTCCACTTGTAGAAACAAGCATTGTTTGTGAGCAGATTAGAAACAGGATACTGGTGAACAGAAATCAATGATGTTACTCGTGTCTTCCTTTTGTATGTTGGGGCCACGGATTTAGCTATGGTAAATAAACCTTTGTGTGACTTACTTCCAGTAAGTGCTCACTACTGAAGAAGTACGATGGTGTCACTATACTAAAAGAACACTACAGTGCATTTTAGGGAATGAAATTTGGACCTCTGTAGATCTGTGTGAGAACACACGCAAAAGGTTAATCACTACAGAGGTGTAATAGGCCATATTAGTTCACCTTCCTAAGAGACGCTGTCTCATAAAGAAGTTACAAGATATAATAAATTCTTTCAAAGACATACTTTCCAGTTGTTGGTGAGGTGAGGATAACAGATTAGGCACACAACCTCTTTATGACAGAGAAGGCAGCAAAATTAAAACAGGATCAGAGGATGGAGCTAAGCTGGCAGAGTGCTTGCCTAGCATGCGTGAGGCCCTGGGTTCAATCTCCAGCACTGCCAAAAAAGAACACTAGAGCAATCTTATCAAGCTAAACGGAGCTAGTGTTTTAGGAGCATCACGGCCTTCTTTTCTTCCCTTCTCAGTGTGCACTGAATTCTGCGCCCTAGCCTCAATAAGAAACTATTTTCACCAAGGTCAGGCAGTGTCTCACTTTTGTATCTTTCATAATCCTTTAAAAAACCTTCTAAGGAATAGGTATTTCATAATTTCCTGATAACAGTGTATGTGAGAGTATTCCAGAAGGATATGCTGGTGCATCTGGAAACCCCAGATATGAAAAATATTTAAATCAGCTATGTATGTTTATTTAGGAAAAAAGAAAATGTCTAAAGTTGTCAGTAAGAAGTTCAAGGGGCTGGTGAGATGGCTCAGTGGTCTAAAGCACCTACTTAGAACAAGCTAAGCTAAGCGAAGCACAGGGACCGCGGTTCAATCCCCCAGCACCACATGCCAGCCAGCCCCGCCCCCTGGTGGGCTGAGCTGGCCACACACACACAAAATTAAAAAAAAAAATTAATTAGAAGTTCAAGGACGCATAACACGAAGGACCAAGCTGGAGCTACCTCCAAATTGAGTACAGTGCTTCCCTTAAAGACAGATGTCAGCCTTCTACACTGGCGATATGCAAGCCTGAACTTGGTTCTCATTTGAGACACTATCTGAATGAATTTCTCCACAGGAAGAATAAAGCATATGCCAATGGGTCCCTGTGCTCACTGCATATCCAATCACCTGGGCTACTGGTTCACTCCAGACCTACTGAATCAGACTCTCCAGGGGAAAAGGCTCAGAAGTTCAAAACTTTTAAAAAGTATCCCAGGTATTTCTGATGTATCCAGTTAGGTACTGGTTCTCTGAACCACTGACCCAGCTGATACTCTACTCCTTTAAAAGTAGATACAGTTTTAACAACGAACATGATAAAATGTAAAATTCCAAGGAAGGAGCGAGTCTAACAAGATAAAAGTGGTGGCTGAGTCAGGTGTGGTGGCCCAGGCCTGCAATCTCAGCAGGTGGGAAGCTCAGGCGGGGCACTGCACGTTCCAGCCAGCCTAGGCGCCTTTACTATGTCTCAAAATAAAAAGCTCAGTGTGAAGTGCAAACTCCTTGAGTTCAATCCTTAGTCCCAAAAAATTAAAAAACAAAAACAAAAAAGCATGAGTGAGACAAAAGAAAATTAAAGGTGGATGTCAAAGCCCACCCCCATACATGTAACATAAGAGCTGCAGCTGAGTTGTGACTCACATACAGGTAAATTTTTGAAAACGTCTTAGTGGTTTTAGTAAAACAATACTATAGCAGCGCTGGCCAACCCATGGACATGTGCCACACCCAGCTGACATCCCTGAGAGCTCTAAAAGGCTCGCCATCACAGCTGGAGAGTGCAAGGCAAGTATAAAACGCTTGGTTCAGAAAGTAGCTCTGCTACATCAACCAGAACTTCCAATCACAGGACTTGACTCCTGAGTCTGGTCTCTTGTCTTTCTGAGACAGGTTTTACTATGTAGTGCAGCCTGGCCTTGACCTCACGTTGTAGCCCAGGCTGACACTGAACCAGGAGTGATTCTCCTGCCTCAGCCTCCTGAGTGTGAGATTGACCCCTGAGTTTTAAAATCCACATCTCTAAAATGAAGACTATCAAAACAGAACAGAATAAAACAAAATAAAACAAATGAAGACTATCCCCAACCTCAGAAAGTTGTTGAAGGATCAAAATGAAAGCATATAGGAAGTGAAGAGACAAAAAAGTGATTATAAATGATTCCCAAGTAAGATAAAGCTGCTAGTCCTGGTGGCTGCTTGAAAAACCCAAAACACTGTTCTTAAGGGTTAAGTATAAAACATCAGCTATTCCTTTTAGACAGCATATAAACCCAACCTCTTTATCACTAACAATGAAATGACAAATTAAAATTCTCTTCTGCAGCAATCACCTGATTTTCTTGCTTTGCAATAAATGTTCATATTATATTTTTCCTTCTATACTTTCCTTCTATACTCGAAAAGCAGGAAAGGTTTTGAAAGGTACTTCACTTAAAAATGGAAAAACCGGGGGCCAGGGAGATAGCTCAGTAGAATAAGTGCCTGCCTTGCAAGCACAGGGTCCTGAGTTCAATCCCCTGTACCAAAAAAAAAAAAAAAAAAAAAGGAAAAACCGTAACTCATATAAAGCATATCCAAATGAACACTAGTTATTCATTAAGTACTACTACATTTTCAAATTAATAAGTTATATTTTTTATTTGCAAATATTACTCACAGGTCTTTCATTAGGATCAATGAAAAATATTTTGATGATTATTTCGAATTCACCCCATCCTGTTTCAGTAATTTCATATGGAGGCTTAGTAACAACTGAAGAGAAAGGGGAAAACATTATAAATTACTGATTTACTTTCTTTACCTTTGCATATTATGAATCTAGACTGTACAATACCTCTTAAAGGATTTCC